GCCCTCTGCCTCAGCCCCAGAGAAAATGGGATGCCACTTCCAGGTTTAGTAGGGTTGCTTGCGCTCAAGCCTTATGGTCATCGCGGTCCAATGAGTTGGGGTTGCCAAAATTTGAAGTCCAACATCAGGAGCTTTATGAAGGTTTTGGATATAAACCTCCTCTCCTGCGCTATACGTGCTGCCTTTTTGATTCCACAATTAATCAACAGGAAGGGATTGCAGGATCCTCAGAAAGCGCATAAAGACCGAACCAGCATCAGAAAACTATGGAGAACACACACCCAGAGCCCCAAGCCCTACAGCATTCCATGCGTTATAGATTACAGCGAGTTTGCTCCACGCGCTACCTTGGAAGAGCAAAACAACCCCTCTCGAATCCCCAGAGCAACCCTCAAACCGCCCAACCCAATCGAGCAGATCCCGAAGGCTTGTCAGACCACATAAATTCAAACAATAGAAGTACATGGAGAATGCATTGAAAGCTGGGACGACATAGGGGGTGCTATCGGACTTGTATGTCGCACCTAGCTGGGACGACATAGGGGGTGCTATCGGACTTGTATGTCGCACCTAGATGATTTTCAATAGGGTCTGGATGTATTTCGCTATCACTACGCAAGGCCTTCTACAGTAAGGGGATCGTATTCCTAACTACGCAGGCTTCTGGATTTCGCTCATGTTTGAGGCAGCCATGCCCAGACATGAGAATCCCTATGCCCTTTGCACAAACCTGAAGGCCAAAATCAGACCACCGAAGGGGGGGGTATCTCATCCATATAGGTTTGGGGGGAGGATACCTCCCACATCATCTTGAACAAGGCCCAGTAGAACCCTGGCAAACTCCTCTGATGATCCGCATAACGCTTATGTAGGCCCAATGCAATCCTTGTATAATCCCTGTAATATCTCTACAGCGTCCCAAAATGACCCTACATCCAAGGCCCCAAACCCTGAACTGTAAACCCTAAACCCTCCCCGTGGGATTTGGGTATCCCGTCGCTGCGGGGTCATCGCTGCTGCCGCCCGCCAGCAGGCCGGCACCTGGCATAAAACAAAGAAAATCCGTTTATAGTCCCCATTAAGCAGGTAGAATATGGCGCATATGTGGATCTGAATAGGATATTGGACAATTCCGTTTACTATCTACTTAAAGGAGACTGTAGGCCTGGTCTAAGGATCTAAGGATCCAAGGGTAAAACAAGGGTATAGAGGGCTATATAGGGGAATGGTAAGAACAAATGTAAGCTACAGCATGTTTTAGGGTTTTGGTTTAGTCTTGAGGTTTACAGTCAAATGGAGGTTTTGGTTCAGCGCTTGGGGTCTATATCTATATCATATGGGGATTAGGGTTTGGATTTGGGTTTATTATGCCATTGCTCTTGTTTTTGCTCGTCCTTGCAGTCTCTCCACTGTTGCATGCTTGGAAGCTGTACTTGCTAGGAGCTATCAGGAAAACACTGCCATGCTGCTTAGAGCGTCAAAAGACCCTCTAATCTCTAAAGTCGTGCGCCTCATGAACAAAGCCTGCCGGCACCACCATCCGCGGCCACATAGCGCAAGGCCTGAGCTTTGCGAGAATACTGACCGCACTACTTGCAGTAACACCTTTCGTACCACCCGGAACCTCTTGCGACATGAATCATATTGATCATATAACAACCGGGCTACTGCCCAGCCGTTTCATAGACGGTTCCCTCGTGACAAGTGAGCGAGGACCAGTTTGGCGCCCCTGCACCTTGAATAAGTAAACTCTACAACCCTAACCCCCTGAAGCTCCTAGCCTGTTTGCTGCCAAGCTGCTAGAACAAGTTGCCTAGGCCCCAAGCGCGACAAACGCCGCTGATAGTCTCAGCAGTTCAAGACCCAGGTTTGAGGTCGAAAGGCTGAAAGCTTTAGAGCTTCAGCGCGGGTTCTAAAGGTTATGGTTCAGGGATTCTTGGCTCTAGGGTTTTAGAGCTTAAGGGTTATACAGCGTTGCTCGGTGTAGGGTTTATGCTACTTAGATTTGGGCTCCTCTTTTGGGAAGAGAGAAGGCGGGGCTGCAAGGGGGGCGGGGGGGGGTGTTCGAGAATCAGGGGATGAGGAAATGGATTTTCAGGATTATGTAGAAAAACCTCTCACAAGTTCATGGCAGAAGCCGGGGAGCCAGCTTTCTGGAGAGATGTGCCAGAGAACTGGGACCTTACATATGGCACCAAGCGCCACCATCATGAAGTGGCGATGCTCATCCATATAAGCACAGCTTGATCGTGCTCGTCATGCCCAAAAACAAAATCGTGATGTGGTTGCCACTTAGGCCTAACCAGAAAACATACTGGCTTCGAATTGTCGGTAACACCTTTGCAACTGCAGTTGGAACTGTGACTTGAATCGCCTTGCATGCTTGGGCCCGGGACTGGTGGTGACCTTTGGTACATCGGCCTTGGTGTTGTCTGCAGGAGGAAATTCATCTAGGCTCGTCCACGGGAAGATAGCGCTGAGACAGAGGAGGCGTGCAAGATGATGCCAGAGTTTGCTCCGCACCTTCTTAGCCAAAGCATTGTCTGCAAATGTGTTACTTCCGTTGCGGCGCAGCCTTTTGAGGTTGACTTGCCTCATGCTAAAGAATCGCTTTTCCCCAGCAGCGAAGGAGCAGGGACACCAACAAAAGTTCAGGGGTGTTGCAGCTTCGGTATAACGAGATCAGGATGTAGGGGTTTATACTGAATTCTGGAAGCTAGCGGTCTGTTGTATGCCAGGACTAAGCGAAACTGTGGCCTCTCGACAGACAAGGCAATTGCCTTCTCCCTCGCACTGAACAGAAAACGAGAAAGGATTGATTGCCGAAGTTAAAAACTGCCCAAAGGGACTGAGTAGTCTTTGAGGTCAGCACGGCTGCATGGACGCGCTTGAAGAAGCCCATGGAGCCAGAGTCAAGCTGCAACAAGCTTTGGGTGAAGGAGGGATCTGGGTCTTCTTGTTGCAAAATTCCATCAGAGACTATATTGCACCGGAGTTCCGACGAAGTTTAGAGTAGAGTTTGACAGCGTCTGGTTTAGACCATAGCAATCTCAACACTGACTAAACTTCCAGTACTGAAAAACCATGGATGATTGGCGGCTTCAGTGTGCTGTAGCAAGTTCGAGAAGACGCGCAGCGTGTGCATCAAGAAACAACTCGAATCTTTCGAAGAAACAGTCTCCATGATACCATAATTGGGGCGAAAACTTCAGAAACTGCCATCTCATTCGCCCCTGCAGGCCTCTCTGCTTGCTGGCTTTCAACCAACGCCGTGTCCAGCAGATCCGCTGGTTCCTGTCCCATCTTTAGCAGCTGGGGCTAAAGGTCCTTGAGGTTCAGTGCCCATGAGGTTCATGGCTTATGGCATGAAGTAATTCTGGATTTGGATTTGGGGATCGGGTTTGAGGCTCAAGGCTGATAAGGTTTAGCAGTTCGAGCTCAGGCTTATGTTCGAGCGGGGTTTGGGGCGTAGCGTTTCGGGATGTGGATCGAGGCGTTGGGGTTTGGAGGTTGGAGTTCGGGATAATCAAGGGGTTCAAGCTCAGTGTTTTGGCGTTTAAAAGGATGTCTACATTTTATCCTCCCCATCCAGTATTCTATACTACAAGGGGCTAGAGCGCTGGAGTTCGCAAAAGGAATCATATTATGTTCTTTGGACTTGCACGTTGACTTCCCCATATCTTGCTTCACCCGGCTTGTCATATGGGGCAACCGCTTCCAAGCGGCGCGGAACTCACAACCTAGCGAGCAAACGCAGATATAACATCGAACCCAAGGTTTAAGTACCCAAAAGTACAGCTGCAGTAGAATACAAAGGTCATCAAAACCCATGCAGCCTCACAGCAAACAACATAAGCCTTTGAGCACTAGGTTGGAAAAGTCGGAGCTTTGGGCATCATAGTGTTGACACGGCCCGCCATACGTTTCTGCCGCCGCTCTTTGGTCGTGTATACGTCTCTTCGAGACGGTGGACAAGGCGCTCACCGTGTTTCCGGCGAGATGCACACCATACCACAGCACTCTCATGCAGGGCACAGCTGTGGATGTAAAACACAACAGGCATCCCTTTCCACAACCCTGGAAGGATTCAAGTCAGTAGATCTGGGCAAGTACCGGTGACCTTTCTTTTTGGATCCTTTCAGGGTTCTGAGTTGTGGTACGCTCCTCGGCTGCCGCTGCAAACTCGCGGCAGCCATAAACCCTACACAACGCTATGTCCCTCTATATAATCCCAAGAACTCCGCTTGAAAAAACAACAATTGAGTAAGCTCCGAAAAAGGTAGTTGGACCTATCAGCCCAGAATCTAATGCCAGAAATCTTCAGAAGCAGCGCATTACACCTTCGCACGATTCAAAAGCTTGAAAATAGCCATTGTTTGTGTGTTCCACACCGAGAAACTGCACAGTCGCTCAGCAGAGAACAATCACTCCTCTCTGGCCCAGCGTTAGGTTGTCTCGATTGTCAGCTGACCCTTGTCATCCAGGTCTTGCGCAACTGCTGACCTTGGATGCAAGGATAAGCTGCCATTGCATCAACGTTGATATCGCCCCATTCATTCTTGGGTGCTGAAGAGTTGTTCAACATTTTTAGCAAAGTCAAAAACCGCACACTTCTGGGGAGTCGACGTTAATCGCCGTTGCTCTCGCCACGTAGTAGCGGTGGTTATGGTAAATAGCATGAGCACTGCTACTGGCATTTGCGTTGTCTGATACTTCGAGGGGCGCAAGTCTCTAACTAAGCCTTCCTGCGCTCTTTGTGGCTGCACCTGTTTGCCTATCAAGCCAGGTAAGTGCTTTTTGCATTGGTTGGTCCTTCTGGGAAAGTGTAGGCAACCGAAAATCCTCAGAAAGGTTAGCTATGTATGAAGAAGATGACGGTGTACATGTGAGGGCTTCTCAAGCTGCAGGTCGTCTTGGTGGCTGAAATCAATGAGGACTGTCTTCTCTTGGGGACACGAATTCTGAGCAATTACCATGTGAACCAGTGCCGGAAGAGCCACAAGATCTCCTTCATGTCTGCTTGCTCCTGCAGCCAAGCAAACAAGTGCAAATTGGGGATTCTATACCGGGGCCCGGCACAAGTCCCGTCTTTTCGCCCTTTGCATGGCCTTTAGTCCACTTTAAGTCTACATACGCCAATTACAAGAAGCTCATGTACCAATCTTGCCCCGACCCCATGAACTTCTGGGCCCCTTACACCCAAAGCCCCACAATCCAACTCCAAACTTCCAAACCTCGATGTATTTACAAAAGTGGACTTCCCCTGTTCTTACTGGTGGTACTAGAGAAGAGGGGAATGTAATCCCTATATAACCCCTATAAACTACTTTTCCGTCCCCTCCTAAGACTCACTATGTATTTGATCCCGGCCTGGATTCGAGGCACCTTGGGGTAGCTGATGCGCTCCAGCTGATCAGCAGCTGCCGTCAGGCACTTGCCTAGGGTTTGGGATAATGAAAGCTTGATTATAATTAAGCTTTGTAACTTCGGGATAACTGCTTGGGAATTTTTAGTGTTTAGTCTCCAAACCCTCCAAACCCCAACCGCAAACCCTACGCTCAAAACCCTGGACCATGGAGAAGCCACACCCAAACCCTAGGCTCCCAATTGCCAAGCCCTAGGTTCCCAAACCCTAGGCCCCAGCAACCCCTACTTCCCAAGCCCAAAACCCAAACAGCAGAGCCCTATGCAACAGCCAGTTGCCCAGTGAGTCCTGCTCAGAGCTTTCAGGTTGCGCGGAGCCCTCCACGGACCTCACGGAGTTAGCATGGCAAGCTCGAGGAAAAGAATCACAGGAATGACAGGGGGGAATGCGGGCAGTAGTATCAAAAAATGGTCAGAATTTCCACCGATGACAACCACCAGATGATGCAAGCACAGCGGTAAGTTGAAATCAACAAAATTGTGAAGAATCGTAGTCATGATTGCAATACATTGATGCTAATTGGCATGCTTCATGGCGATAACTGGGTGCAATACGCAGTCTGGCAATACTACTAATCATTAATACAACCGAAATAATGACAATATATACAGTACAGGTAGTGAATTACATGAACTTCGCAAGCTTAAGTTGCATCAATCTTCCCATCTTTTGAGGTCCAGCGGCTTGGGTGACCACGCGAGTGACAGACTGACTCCCAAAGCGCAGACCTGCAAAGCAGCAGCCAGGGGAGCTGGCGCAGCGCTGCACCGCCGAAGAAGAATCGTAAATAGCCTCGGATGCCGATCACACAAAAAGAAAAGTGACGTGTGTACCAAGATGCGGCTTCTTACCTGGTATCTTTGTATAGTGGGGATCTTTCTTTCACCTATCTTGTGTGGATACACTGGTGACCCTCTCTGCGCAGCAAGGCGCCCCTGCCGCGCCAGGACCACCAATGCCGGGCTGGGAATCACACAGAGCACCGTGGCCACCCGCGCGGCTTCTGCATCCGGAGCCCCGGGCTCCATAGCCGTGCCAACCTGCTCCTGCTCCCTGCCACAGGGCAAGTTGAGAAGCAAGCAAAAGACGACCACAAAGACTATTTTAAGTGCCCCCATGCTGGCGCTGCAAAATCCCACAAAACTCAGGGCCATGCATTGCAGAAAGTGAAAGGGTGGATGCAAAGGCCGTGCCCATAGTGCTGTTCGAAAACACCATGGGAATGAGTATATATCATGGGCGTTTGAATGTTCTTTTCTGCAAAATGATGATGGAAAAGGATATCAAAACTAAGTATTGTTGTACTGTGCTGCCATGATGCAGAATGCGCTGCGCCAAGTGCAGCGCTTCCAGGGGGCCTTTCAGCAGCAGCTCCTCAGCATCAGCGCCACGAGGGGCGAAATTCTCAGAATGAGGGCCCCCCGAATCTGATTGTGTTGACTACACGGACAAGAGTTGCGGGCATCTCAACAGAAAGGAGCAACAAAGCCAAAACGCGAAACGATATCTTGAGTTCCCTCAAAATCACAATGCGGGAGTCCATCGGCTTAAGAAAACAGAAGTTTCGGCAGTTTTGTGAAATTCATACTTTGTTGACCCAGGTGCTCGCCGCTGTGCTTGGAGCTGTGCAGACAGGTCGGCCAGCCCAGACGCGCGTCCTTTCCGGATCTTGCTGACTGTGGGCTACCCTGAACCCTAAACCCTGCCATCAACCCGCTGAATTCCTTAGCCCAAAATAAGCTAACCTTTCCAGTGCGGTAGGGTTTCACAACGATGTTCAATGTTCAGAGTCCCTCTTATTTGCCCCACATGCCACGGTCCGCGTACACAGACATAGAAGTAGCCCGGATGCTTTCAAAAAGCACAAAGATTCCGAACTCAGCTTTCGCGGCAATGAGATCCAAAATGAGCCCTCCTTCCGACAACCCGGGTTCCCCAGATACCTGAATACTGTAACCTTTGTTGCAAATACGTTCAACGTCAAAATTCAACACCCACAGATCCCTCTTCAAGACGCTCCGGCCCTGGAAGAAAACAAAATAAAATGAAAGCCCGCGCTCCTAAGTCCTGAACCATTAACAAAAACGAGTACCTCGAAAGAGGGCAATCCCTAAACCCTAAACCCAGCCCTAAGCCATTAACTCTAGACCCTGGTCCCTGGAGGATCGGCACCACCTTCAGATCCGAGCTTTTGTTCAGCTGACCTCTCTTCCAGAGATGCTTCCAGAGCTCCTCTGAAAGACGGAATATCGCGAGAATGGGGTCGGGGGGTCACAGCAGCCCTTTGAAGAGTTGCGGGATGACAGCAGGTTTTAGGGTTCGTCTTTTCGAAGTAGGGGTACCTCGGAACCCTGAAGGATACATAGGGTTTCTGTGTGATTAAGACTGTCCAGATCTAGACTTTCTGCAGATATGTTTTTGAGAAGTACCTAGACGAAACTTTTCCAGCTTTTTCGGGGGATGTGAGGGTGCCGTCATCCCTGAAGCAAGCATTGCCTACGTACATAATCGCCACATACTTGATAGCGTTCTTTTGCGCATGTGGTACTCCCCCTAAGTCTTTGACTGTGTAGACATGGGGAAACTGCAACAAACAGCCCTGACCCGACACCTAAGGCATAAGGGGCCTGCAAGGCTTTGAAAGAGGGCGCCGTGGGGGGAGGGAGCCGATTTTCCCACGATTTCGTCATGAAATTCACAGGAGCACTGAGTTAACTTGATCATCTAGAGCCAGTGCCCCATGATCTGCAAGCACAAATTCACGCGAGCACGCATGCGTTGTCACGTTATGTATGTTTTGGAGAGCATCGAGACTGACCGAAGCCTGTGCGCATTTCTCCCAGTGCATTCAACTGCTATTGAACCACACTTGGGGGAGGAGCTTGCATCTTGATGAACCAAGTCCGTGATAACTCACTTGTGCAGGAAGCCACCGAGAAGATAACAGCTGTCAACGCGCCTCCCAGACCATAACATTGATTTCCAAGACCTCTTCGCGACATCAATACCACGAAAGTTTGCCACATGAGTTCATGTCCTGCCTCACTGCATAGCCAGATGGCCATGTGTGTGATCATGAATTCGCATGCAGCGGTGCTTGTGTTGCCAGGGCATGTGACTCTGTCTCGTCGTGCCGCTTGAAGCAAGCGCAGGACGGTGCGGCCCATCACGTTTCCCAGGCCTTGGACTTTGTTGAACGCATGGCACCTGCACGCCCATCAAGTTCCGGAAGCCTTGAGCTTCACCGCATGCCACCATCGCAGGAGCAGGCACAGGGTGCGGCTCGGGGTTTGCATGTCACTGCTGTAGTGAGAGCAGGCTCTCAAAAATAGACTTCATTGAAGGAGCCTAGAGAGTATCATTGGGGCTCGCAATTTTGAAACCCTCAACTACCAAACCTCATAATCCTATGCCTGAACGGATCCCTCCAAACTCTTTAGACACAAGCCCACACCTTCACTCCCGTGTGCCATCACCATGAGCATCACCCAAGTAAAACATGGCAACAATCATCATGCCGAAAATAATGGCAGCAATACTGAGAATCACCATGACAGCTGACAAAACCTACATATCAAAGCGAAAGAACGATCATCAAGATAAGTACAACGCCGCTTGGTATGTATCACATGATACTTTAAACCAATTGACTCCAGCCAACTAACATAAAACCCGAGGAGGGTCCCTGTAGCTCCCGTCCTCCATGGCAAAGGCCAGCTGAACACTTCCGTTGTATCGCCAAAGGAGCCATGGCTCAGCCAGGGCCATTCCCAAGGCAACCTTGGAATGAAGAAGGGTGCTTTTGGGGGCTAAAGGGTGTGGATGTGAAGTAGAAATGCTACCTTGCAATAAGGATGTGTTTAAGACCATGTTTCGGGTCTAGGGTGGTGGCTTAAGCTCTATATGATGAAGTAGGGAGGAGTAAGGGCTCCCAAGGCACCCCTGCAACAGACCTAGGGGTTTAAGAGGTTTGAGGTTGGACAGAAGGTCCCTGCCAAAGGGGCAACCCCACAAGACGCACTCTAAGCTTCAAACAAAAGAAGAGGCAAGAAGTACAACCTCACATGGCTATAGTCTAAACTCCCAGCATCCCCCTTGATAACCCTATGATCCTCCCGTTGTAATCCCCTATATAGCCCCCTTTAAAGGACTTTCGACTGTACCTCACATGAGGTTCTACGGGATGGGATATAGCCTGTAACTAAGGCTTCGGGCTTGCAACCTGGGAGTTTCCAAAACCATTTTGCTTGAGGGATTATAAAAGAAGTCTTGCAGGCAAGGTGACTAGGGACAGGGGTTTTAAGGATTGTGTTGCAAAACTTTGTGAGCTTGCAGCATAGGGTTTAACACATGCCAGTCCAAGGCGCTCCAGCTTTGCCACACTCACACAGGCGCAAGAGCAGCATCCTGCAGGGAATCCGCAGTCCGTACATGGGGGAAGGGGAAGGTAACGTCACATCAATGCAGAAAGTCGAGAAAGCTGGGACGCAACCCCGGTCAAGCTGGTTGACAAGACCTTTCGGCCAGGTATTGTCATAATGTACTGACTTACCCAGAACATGGGGGGTAAGATATATGTGTGTGTGTATATGTATGCATCTAAACATTTTACCTGAAGGCTGCCAAGTCCTTGACAGGTGCTCACTGAGTACGCCCGCTTCGGTAAGCGTCAGCCAGACTCGTATGCAGCGATGAAGGTCCACATGCGTCTTCAAGGACCCGTCGTCATTCAATGGCCGTACAGACCGAAGCAGCCTGTGACTGGGCAGCTTTGGGGTTTGGGGCTTGGGAGTTAGAGTTGGGCATTTGAGGTCTAAAAAAGCTGACGGGGTTTGGGTCTCAGGGTTCAGTTTCTAAAGCGCAAGGCTTTGCTCCTTTCAGTTTGCTGGAACCTTTGTATTGCGTCCCAAGAGACTACATGAAGATGTGAGCAAAAGACGCCATGCAACGGGACTGCTAATGACCGAAAGCTTGTACTGTGTCGGGCGTTTATGTACTGCGCTTCTCGGATGGAGCGTCCTGCAGGTGCAAGGTATGGCCCAAGAACTTTACATGTTGTGGGTTCTTGGCTAAGCAATACCTTAAAAATGAAGCGCGCCTGCTAAACTCACTAAACCCCTTAGACCGCCTCAGCCCCTAAGCCCTCTAAACTCTTGAGCCCTACACCCCGTAAGTCAGGAACCCATAAATCTGCCCCGCCAAACTCCCTCAACACCCCTAAACGCAACAGCACTCAATGATGCAGTAGCTTCCAAGTTTTTCCATGCGCACATATCACGCACTAAAACCTAAATGAAATGGCTTCCATTCTGTTCCCCACTCCCTACTAGCTGGCTCTGACTGTGGAGAGCAGCTTGAGCAGGTCGGCATCCCTCATGATTTTGGCTTTCGCCATCAGCTCCTGGCCCAGAACCAGTCAAGAAGAACGTGTTTCATGTAAAGGCCTAAACGAAGGAATGGCGTTTTGGGTGCCGTATACTCTTCTCAAAAGCATTATGCAGCCTGTAGCATTCCGACAGAGCCCTAACCAAAAGTCTGCACTCTAAGAGCCTCTGAACTAGCTCCCTGTGTGATCATCATCAGGCCATCAGGACTGTAACTTACCCATTGGGGTAATATTGTGGTCGTCCAGGGGCCATATTGGGGTAATGGAAAATAAAATGGCAACTACTGTTTAGGGTGTTTAAGAACATCATCCCCAAAGACTAAAATGGAATGGAAAATAGAAAATGAAATTGAAACTACTTGGGTTTAGGATTTAGGGTTTAGGGATATCACCCCCCAATGATGGGAATCAAATGCAAAAGAAAATGGAAAATTAAATGGGACCTACCAGGTTTTCGGACTATATAACCCCCAATGTGTCAGTTTCCCTTCTCTGGTCCATGTTCCTATATAATGTCATGGGCTATGTGGCATCCTAGATTTTCCCAGCTTCTATTTCATTTATATTTTGCCCTTGGGCTTGCCTCGTCCCAGACACCAGGACCCCACTGAGAGTTCCTGGCAACAGGGTATAGGGCTTAGGGTTTAGGGGTTCAGGTATTATGGGTTTGGAGGGTTCATGAGCTTAGGGGTTTGCAGGATTTAGGTTCAAGGTTTCGTATTTCACAGATCAAGTTTTTATCCTTAGGGTCTCATAGCCACACCTTTAAGAAAGCCCAGGATGGCCATGCAGGTATATGACAGAACAACCCATATTTCACAGGAGATTCAGAGAGAGAGAAAGAGAGAGAAAGAGAGTACCCAGCCTCAGCACGCTGATGTGGAAGTCCACTTGCTCTGCTGGATATTCCCAGGGAACCTTATTGCGATTCGGACTCCGTCAAACAAAACATTGTGCTTCTATTGGGTGCGAGAGCTGCGTACGTAGGGGTTCTACTCGACAAAGTCCGCAATTTGGAGATATACTTGTTTTCTCTTTTCTTAGGCATTCAAGCCTGATCTGTTTGCAGGTCCCCTCCTCAAAGAGGCTCCATGCTGTTTTTGGGCGTAGACCCAATGCAAATATGATGCCCACATGTTCTAAGCGTGTTTTGCTTCTATCCCCTGCGGGCAACCTGATCACTGTTGGGTAACCATCCCCTAAAGTCTGTGAGCCCCAAGTTTCCATTTTCTTTTCCATGATTCCCATGTAACCCCTATAGAACCCCAAGGTGTTCCACATCTGCTTCCAGGGAGCTGCCTGGAGGAATCGCTGCCCATCCTTAAGGACTTTGCGGAACTGGAGCATCTGGCGCAGAAGCCTAGGGCTCAGGCTTCAGAATTTGGGGTTTAGAATTTGAGGTTTCGGGTGCAGTATTTGGGGTTTAGGCTTAGGATTTGCTACTTGGAGGGGTCAGGCTTTAGGGATGTATGGCTCAGGTGCCAGGCCCCAAGAAAGCTCGAGCTTGTTCAGCAAGACAGTGATGGACAATCAATGTATGCATGGATGGATGTACGTATGCATGCATGTGCACGCATGTGCATTTGCATATGCATATGTGTGCAGGCTGCTTCGCCAAACTTGTTGCTTACAATAGCTGGAGATGTCGAAAGCTACAACCTTAAACCTTCAACAACAAGCCCTCTGCCTTAACTTCGAAACCTAATCCCCAAACCCCGAAACTTTGGCCACAAAACTCAACTCTCCGCCTAAAGGATCCCTAAACCCAAAACCTTGATGCCCGTCCCCGAACACCCAAAACCGAAGTGGATATTTCAACTTCTGAACCAAAACAATTGTTTGAAGCCCCCAGCTTGGCAGGCAACTGTTTGCAGGTGCCCACCAGCTCGGTGTTTGCCAGGGCAGGGTCTCCGAGAGCCACCGCGCAGAGCTTCTGCGCCTTCTCCTTAGCAAGGTTCAGGGTTTAAGTTTAGGTTTGTGGGTTTGGGGTTTTAGGGTTTCAGGGTTAAGGGTTATAAGGTACAGGATTAAGTGTTCACGGTGTAGAGACAAGGTTTAGGGCGCATGGGCGCTAAGGATTTAAGAAATGCACAACTTCCTGACTTGGCATCCTCGTCTCGGTGTCTCCTTTCTGCAAAGCCTGGCGCAGCTGGTGGAATCGGTCCTCTCGCTGGTAGGGAAGCCAGCATGCATCATAGGGGTGTTTCTGGGGGATTCTGATGAAAGTCAGGAATTTGCTCTCAGGATCCCTAACATCGAAACCCTTAAACCCAAAGAAAGCTGGACAAGAAACCCATAAACCGAAAAGCCAAAAAAACACAAATCCTAGACACTCAGTAATAAAAAGCACTGAAACCAGAAACCCCCGCGAACCCCTGAGACTCTACACCCTAGAACTTCAAGACCCTAAACCCTACAGCCCGCAAACCCCTAGACCGCCTAAACCTCAAGTATCCTAAAAATCTCTAAAACCTCAGCCTACGACCCTAAATCCTAAGCACCATAAGCTCCTCCGCACGGAACCGTGCCGCAGTCTGCTCGAGGCACACGATCTGAGGAAAGCCTGTGAGGGTTTGGGTTAAGCGACGCTAGCGGTTTAGGGTTTGGGGGAGTTGGGATCCAAACCAGACTGACAGCCGTAACTTGCAGTGCACGGCTGCTTGTTCTGTCGATCAGGACGACAAAAATGCGCGCAAGACTTCCATGTTACAACAGCAGCAATATGCAGCAATGATGTGAAGCAAACTCACGACCCTCCAACGCATAACACCACCCCTCAAAAAGAAACAACAGGAGAAGCTTCCCGAAAGCCCTGAACCCGACAGAGGGCACCTGCTTTGATAAAGCTGATGTGCCGAAGCAAAGCTCTTCTTTGCTTAGGGTCCTTAGAGGCCAAGTTCGGGGTTGAGGGTTTAGGCTCAACATGTTCCGGCAAGCGGGAGTTGAAGGTATGAGCGCTCAGCGTTCAGGGCTGAAGTTGCAAGAAAACCCAAAGTAAGCCCCAACGTCGTAATGGAGACAAGTATCATGCTTTGCGTCGCAACTTGGAAGACCACCATGCGAGGCGCTCTTGCGCATGCTGCTTCTGAATTTTAGGCCGTCCGCTAGGTGAGCCCTTTTAGGCTACCGTTTATGATGGGATGTAACGTGCCAACGGATGCGCAAAGGGATTCTGCAGGAACCTCTGAGGATAGAAGGATGACTTGTTACCTAATTTACTAATGGCAACTGCTTTTTGTGTGCCCTTTGATGTACGGTGTTCGGGCCAAGCAAGAACAGCCTAATATCAGAGCGTAGGTGTTTTTGAAAATCTGCACTTCTATGAGGTGCCGGACCTACCATACAGACCCTCCATCACCCCTACACCATATTGTTCACCTTACGACAAGAATGGTGTGGCTGGGAGGGGACAGTTCTATCTGCAAACAGCTGCGAGTTGAACAGAGGTACTTGGAGCAAATGGTGGCGAAGGCCATGCCAGGGGCTGTCAAAAGCATGGCCCTTTTCCAATCCCCTCGTCCACGACCTTGAACAACCACTATAGCACATTATAACATATTATACTAGGTCGTATTGGTTTATGCTATATCATATTATCTTATATTATAGCATACTGCTCTTCCGGGCCTGCGTGGCAGACAGCACGATGCTTGTGGGCCTGAGCAACAGCAAGAAGTTTAGGTTTTAGGGCTTCGTTGGCCCCCTTAGGTAGATAGAGTTTGGGGTTTAGGGCTTAGTCCCATTCAAGAAGATAGACTGTAGGATTTAGGGTTCAGGTTTAGAATGCTTTAGATAATGCCAAGAACAAAAGGAATCTACGACATTACCATGAAGAAAGCAATGAGAACTATAGATGGAAGACCTCTAGTTATCATCTTCAACAAAACATTACAGGCTAGGCTGGGACACCGCCCACTAATAGTGACCACGAGAGATATAGTACTTCTCTTCGGGCCTCTCTATATTGCTAGATACGACTCCTGTATTGGTGGGTGAGGGGGGGGTTCACCCAAATTATAGGTTGCAAGCATCAAAACCCTAAACTCTACACCCTCAATAGTAGCTTCCATGTTCTTTTCCATTATCCCTATATAACCCCCATATAACCCTAATATCACCCCAATGCGTCTAAATCAAAAGCGCACCATCCGTTTGAGAAACTCTCGCATGGCTTGCAAGATCCTGGCCGGCTGACCGGCGGAAGGCACTCCGAGACCCATAAAGGCACCCTCTCCTTTGGGTTTTCAGGTTTCAGGGTTAAGGGTTTAAGGTAATGGAAGCTACTGTAGTATATTGGGGGTTATATTGGGATGATGGAAAAGAAAATGGAAACTACAAAAGTAAAATGGGGTTCTATTGGGATAATGGAAAAGAAAATGGAAACTACCACAGTATGTTGGGGTTATATAGGGATTTTGGACGAAGGCATGGAATCTAGAGTTTAGATGTGCTGGGGTTTGTGTTTTGGTGTCCTGCAGTTTGAGGGTGCTGGGTTGTAGCGTGTTCACAAGGCGCCCGCCAGCAGCAACACTACTCTGCTTTAGGCCTCCCTACGTAACTTTTAGTTTTAGAGTTTAGGATTTTAATGCTATTTCTTATACCATCAACCCCAAATGGTAGTATTTTCCATTTCTTTTCCATTATCCAATTGCCCCAATGTATACCCTATAATCCCTGTATATGTATATCCCTATATTAGCCGTATATCATGCCTGTAGTTTCCATTTTCGTTTCCATTATCCCTAAATAACCCCAACATATAGCCTATAATCCCTATATTACCTACACCCCCGCCATCCAGCTCCCAGACAGTAAAAGGAAGCCAGCCATGCTTGCTTACCTGCAGCGCAATCTCCAAATCCAAAACCTGAAACGAAATCTTAAGCCCTGGACCCTGAACCCTGAAGCCAAATCTGGATGCAAGCAGCAGTTCTGCCCTAAACTCTCATCCTGAACCAGGTCCTGGATCTCAAACAGGCGGGCCTCCTGAAGATGCTGGCAGATGCCCGGATGATACGCAGAATGAAGCCACAATCCCCGTTAACTGATAGTAACTACAGAGGATGATGATCGAAATAAGCAAGGCGACTGGGCGGAGGTCACGAAGCACGCGAAAAATCTAAACCCTGTCGCACCTGAAGTATGATTTCGGTGTATACTTTACGATCACCTCCGGGGGATTGAAAGGGCATGAGCGGCATAGTGTGGCATAGTCTTCCATTTACTCAACCTTCCACATTCCACCCCAAAAGGCCTCGTCACTGGACAGGAAACACTGGTTCAGGGCCTTCCCGGCCTGCCAACGTCTGGCAAGGTTATGCAGGGGAAATATGGGAAATAAGTCTGAAAATTGCTACAAGGTGCCCCAAACACGAGCGTACTCATAACCACAGGTATACGGGTGTCTGCGAACTTGAGCGTTTTGCTAACATTCTCAGCAATGTTGGTTCTATGCTTCTTCTGCTAGCGCTATTCCAGCAGCTGTCACGGTTGTTTCTGATGCCAGCTCATTTGCTGTTGAGATTCTCAACGTTTGCTTCAACCATATTGCTTAGAAAAAACACGCGCGCAAGCGTCAGTCCCAAACAGCCAGGCTACCGGTCGCCTGCTCCCATACAGCCACATTCTCGTGATCAACCAGGCCATGCTCGGCGTAGTATTCCATCCTCTGCTCCGCGCATGTTGTTCCTTTAGGGTTTGCACCTCGCTATCAAAGGAATACCTCTTTCGCAGGATCTGTAGAGCTACAGCCTATGTAAAAACTTGTACAAAGCCATAACATGCCCACGATGCGAGAGCTAAACATAAGTTCTTCTTGCCGTTGCACTAGAACAGTTCCCACAAATGACGATCTTACGATCTCACGAGAACGACAACAAACGATGACGGAAACGACGATGGCAATGATAACGAAAAATCCTCACCAGGTGACTCCAGTAACTCCATCAGAGTCCCTCATGGTCTTGGCGCAAGGCCATGAGACCACAAGCGCAGCCGGTGCCCTCTCCAGTGCGGCCGGAAGGCGCTTGGCAAGAGCCTCTCACAGCGGCGATGTAAATCCCTCTTGGGTTTTCTGTAACGCTGATTCATTATGGACGCCGGGCTTTTCCATCTAGGACTCAAGGCTCAGGGTTGGGGATTTGAGGGCCTTCCTGAACTCCTGAAGGGCGGGCGTCCTGCTGGGCTTTAAGAACATATGTAAGCCCTCAGGAGATTATTGACAATTGACCTCAATAACTTCAACATTAGGAATCATAGGGGTGCATTCTAAGAGTCACACGTCACGTGAATACCCCAGTGGTCATATCAAGGTAGCCACTTGTTGACAACATGTAGCACGCACAGCACTGTGGCACAAGACAACTGATGGTAGCACCAGCAGCAGCGGCGGCAATAGCAGTAGCAGCAGTGGTAGTAGCGGTGCGAGGAGGAAAGAGATGCAGCAAGTATTAACCAGAACAGTCACAGAGCAAGAAACAACGGTAGCGGCGCACGGAGTTGCAGTTGCAGCACTTGTGGCAGCTCCCGCGCCGCTTCCTGCCAGAAGCATGAAGCGGCGAAGAAGCATGCAGGTAAATGGGGCTTGTGGTGTGCTATGGATAGCTGTAACCCATCCAAGCCTGATGAAGCCGTCCTGCGAAGATCTGTGCGGCACGAGGCTTGGACACGGCCAGCTGCAGCCTGAGAATGAACCGCTTGAGCAAGGCCGGTCAAGGGTCAAGGCCCCCAGCAAAGAGCTCACTGATGTCTGAGAAACAACAGAATGGCTGGGGACCACCGTGCTGTCAAACCCTGAGCCCCATACTGTAGCACCTTGCAGCCTGAGACACAGGGTCCAAGGCTGCATAGCAAGCTGATATGCAGACAGGCTGCAGTTCAAGGCTCTGCGTGCATCCTGACGCGCTTCCTCTGCAGACCAACATGAGCTATTGTCTAATCTCCTAGTATCCACATTAATTATAATCCCTGTATTAACCTCCTTTAAGGACTATGGCTCACATGAGGGTCCGGCATCGAAGAAGTGGCAGCAGCGCTGGGTGTGCCTCCTGCACATGCCAACTTAAGCATCTCTGTGCAATCACTTGCGCCCGCGCACGCAGTGTGATCTACGGGCTTACAAAACCGCATTTTGGTCAACACTCACAACCGAAACAGCAGAGTCCACGCATTTTCATTTCTGAGCTGGGATTCAGCCGTTTGAGCCGTGTCGCAGGCGCTTACACCCTCTACACATCGCACGGCGGCCTGCATGGCAGTTCTTCGGGAGCAGAGGGAATTTTCCACGTGGTAACTTGTTTTCATACGGACTGATGATTCTAACACGCACTGATGTATACATGATATGAGATTTTTGTGAGGAATGTGCTTGTTGTTGCTCGAATGGCAGGCATGTGTCACCAAGGATTCAGGACTGTCCTAGCATGTGAAATCACACTAAGCCGGAATGGTCAGTGGGTGGAGAAGCTCACCAAGGCGGAATCATTTGAGCACCTCAGCAGATTCTCTTCGCAGCTGCAAAGCTCATGGAGCCTCACCGCACAATACATGTATCTCTACTGCTTCATCAGAGGGCATAGAATCTTGCAAGGAAATATTTGTGGAGTTCCAGTGGAGCAAAGCACGCATGGCACCCCCTCTCCTCCTTAATCTAAGGGTTTCGGATATGGCATGTGCACTTGATTTCCTGCACCAACTGTAGATTTTGGCCGACCTTAAGTCCTGTTGTTGGACCTGGAGTGGACTTCAGGCCTACGGTGAAGGTCTTAGGAACGACACCGAAGCAAGGAGGGTGTTTTTGAACCATTGCCATGTTCGTGCCAAATCCGTACACAAGGCCATCATCAGGGAGCTAAGCGAACCTCTGCAAGAGAGCCCCGCAAGGATTCGAGTCCACGCAGAAAAACTGCCCGAAAGCCTTAAAGCTGAACTTCCGCTACAAGTCAACTTCTTCGGCGAGATGCTAGGACCCGTACAGGATGCTTATCAAACCCAACAAGAAATCTGAGAATCAGAGCCTCCGCAAGCAACATACCTGTGCAAGCCTGTACAATGAGGCCGATGGGACTGCATAGCCTCCTCAAATCGAGTAAAGTCTGCCTGCCTCTACAAAAAAGGATGAAATTCTATCATCAACCCACAAACTCTGACCTCAGCCACTAAGCGATGCGCGCACGTGGTCAGCACCAAACCGGGCAAAAATTGCTAGGCGGCGAGAGCCTCCAGATCAGCGAAAGTGTGGGATGCACGTAGAGCTGACAAAGGCTTACAGGGGCTGTGCGGCTTCTTCCAGACCACCCTGTATACCTGCAGGGACTCTCAAAACAAGACCTTCAGTTGTTGGAAACCCCCTTCAAGAGGGCCTGACTGGGAAGTCTAATGTCTACCGCACGATCTATGTGGATTTGGAGCCAGTTCTGCGGCTACGAAACCTACAAAGATTGATGGCTCCCCTCTTGCGATGTGCAGCGGTTGACTGCAGGGTGCTTGAAAGGCAATACATAGGGAATTCTCTACATCTGCGGTAAGAAGTCTGATGGTACCGACTCTGAAATATGCAAAACAAAGCATCGCTGCCACCTGCACAAAGCTTGAATGGCTACCGCAACGCAGCAGTGCCATGAACAGCAGTAATTCATTTCTGGGCACCCTGACATACTAACGATGAACAGATATGAGCAGGATCACCTTGACACAGCCACGATTCATCCAAACCCTCCAACCATAATTTCAAACCAACACTCTTTCCACCTCGGTCTTGTTCTTCTGCTCCCCAAGGAACTTGATCACTTGCTCCAAGTTCTCGATCCAATGAGAGAGCCTGTGTCCATGTGATCCCAATGAAGTCTATCTGAAGTTGTAAAATCCTCCGAGCTGTGGTCGCTAAATCCAGCTCGGCCAGGAGAACGGTTTGTTCGGGTAGAGTCAAGCTCTGCCGTACCATCAACAGCCCGTTCATCCGCAAACTCCTACACTGAACTGCCCTACTGGATCTCCAAGAGTGAGTCAGGGGATCGCTGGGACATACCCTATGTACTCTTCGATAAAATCTACCAATTCATGTGCTACAGTGGTATCCTGGTACCGACATTCACTGGCTTGCTCCCTAGACCTGGAACAGCAAGACTAAGGATGCGGCTTGGAGTCCAGGAAGTTCCACTCCTCAAGGTAATAAACATCTTCTTCGACATGTGGCGCTTCCCAAGCAGGTGTTCACCCTCATACCCATTTGAAGCAACGGTTCTTTTCTGTGATGACCGGAATAGAAGACCTGTGTCATTGAAGCTTGCAGGCCTCCTTCTCAAATTTCCGCAGGAAGGCTGACTTCACAAGAACCTGCGAATTGGCAGCATTCTTGGAACTCACGCAAGTAGAATAAGCTTTGCGGGCGTATTTCAGGTCGGCTTGGTATGCCATACTCGTAGAGGGATTGTACGGCCTTCAGTGGCGTCGAGGTAACTTATCTGACTTAGCAACCAGCTGATGGGCCTGATCTGCTCGTCCTCTCAAGGATGTCTTGTTTGTCACGTCAATGACAGGACAGCTAAAACCCTGACCAACAAGAAAACAACTTAGAGTCTTCTATCTTGATGACTCAGTTGGCAGCTCTCGGGAGAGAGTGGCTATGGATGGTAGGTCAACATCGTCATGATAATTACCTAAGCCCGGATACATACAGCCACGCAATAAACCTATGATGCTGAGCCCCAAGCTACCATCAACCCGAAATCTGGAGCTTAAGTCCAACCTAGGCCCCAAACCCTGAACCTCAAGCCGTCTTACCTACACCCATCCCGGTGCCATAAAGCCACGATCCCTAACCTCATGTGATCCTCCTCGAGCCTCAACCCCGAAAAACCTGATCCCCAAACCCCCCAATCCCATCAACCCTCATGAGCTAAATGCCTTTCGGTTCAGCTGATCGATGCGGCCATCGATGACGCCCTCTGAGATCGCTCTAACCACCCAAGGCTCCACAGCCGTGGGACTCTCCTGTTATTGGGCTGTCCCAGTTTGGGGCTTAGGATTTTCCTGTCTTCGTGGTTTGGGGGATATTTAGAGCTTCACTGGCTTCGTCGCATTCCTGGCTTACCTGGCATCATGGGAGGTTTACAGACGTTACACACATGTTGCCCCGCTCTTGGAAGCCCACATTTCAAGGGCACTTGTTAACACGTTGAATAGTTTATGGGGCTGGTTCTGACATATACCACAGTCAATTCATAGATAGCAACACAGCCACCGGCTTCTGCTACCCTGACTGGAAAGACGACTCCAAAACCCCAAATCCCTGAGCCAAGTCATCCCTTCACCCTTGACCCCAAGACCTGACAGCGAGTCTTTTAAGCCCGTAACACAGAAGACCCTGAACAGGTGCCGGAAAATCCTGGATGCGCTTCGCGATGTCATCTAATGGTAGTTCCGACCTTTGACAAGCTTTCTCAGTTGCTTGACAGCTTCTTAGGGCTGAGGTCTCCTTTGCACCCAACAATTTCCCCTAATTTCCAAGGATACCAACGGGAACAGCCACGCACATTGTACTTTCAGCAATGATAATAATATGTAATAGTCTGGGAGGATGCTTCAGGCATTTCTTTCATCACGCCGATGTATGTTCAGCATCCTCCCTACAATACCCGTACAGTACCTTTCACACATGCCCCATCTTCCCCCAATCCCAAACGAAAGCTGGGATGATGACTGTCCCCGAGCCATCGTGGCAAGGGTCAGAAGTCTAATTTTGGACATCGCTTCCTGCCAGGTCACTTTAGGGCAAACTCTAGCCTTGCTACCATGATGGCGATCACCTAGTAGTTGTATAAGCCTTGAGGTCCAACCGTACAGGCATAAGTATTGACTAAAACGGCCTCAAGTGATGCTACTTGCATCTTGATCGTGATCAGCTGCTGAGCAAGCATGATGCCTGCCTGGAAATTTAGGGAATGCTCGTCGAAGAGCTTCTCGTTCTTCTTGTGGAACTCCTCGTCAGCAGCTAGCAGAAGTCGAGGTTATGCAAGGATACCAAGCAACTTCTCGAAAAGGGAAAGGTATCATATTACGTGTGGTTAGGCATGCTAGGGCTTGTAATACAGATTGTCCTGGGTTTTGCTGTTAAGGTTTGAGGTTGGGGTTCATTCATCTTTGAGATTTAGGGAGCCTTTTCCTTCACAAGCAATGTAACACCAGGACAGATACTCGAACACGCTGAACTGCCTCTGAGCGGCAACTGCGTGCTGATAATCCCCAATGTTCACATGGTAGCTATCAACATTGAAAGACCGAATTTCACCCGGCTTTTGACTGCATTTGCGGTGTACTCTTGGGGGCTTCCCCTTCTTTGGAATCTCAGGGCCGTCCGTATCCCTGTCCTTGAGGTCATCAACGGAACCAGACCTCAGACAAGAGAGGGACGAAGCCCAACTCATACAATTGAATATCGCTCCCGCCACGGACATGGCCATTCTCAAACAAGCCGCAAACAAACACTGAAAACCATCTTGGCCCCGTTGGGAAGGGGAGCTGAGCATGGGCAACTTCTGAGCCACCCGCAGGAAGATTTCGCAAAGGCCCACAAGGCTTCCATGTGGTGTGCTTTTCAGGGCCTGCAATGGCAAACAAATCAGCCATGCTATCACAACCCGTGGCTGCCATGACCGAAAAACGCAAGAGGCTGTTGACTAGATCCTGAAACGTCACAAATAACACCAGGCGAAAGCTGGACATGGACATATGAACAACAGTTACACCATCACATGTAACGGTCAGCCTTGACTGTGTCCAGCATCAAAACGTCGTCGAACTGAATCACAGCTGGGAGCATCACTGCATCCTGCACCCGCAGTTTTTGGTGTTGGCTTCAGGGTTTTGGCTTGAAACGGAGACTGCAATATGACAGACGCTCAAGGGAACATAGCTTGGGAATTACATCAGCACTGTCTGCCAATTCTTAGCACGTCGACCAATATGTTTCGGAACCAGAACAGCCTTACCATGCCGGGAACTCCAATATGCGGAGATGTGCTACTGATTCCCTCTGGTCCAAGGAGCACCCCAACAATTTGCCCATGAATTTTCAAGCCTGAAGCACAAGACCATCAACCCTTCACCCGAGTCCTTGATCAGCTGGATGGTCTGCTCGACAACCTCCCACTGGCCGCTTTTCACCGCTACCGACAGCTAAGTACGCAGCGCTCGGCTTTGGGTTCACGGTTCAGAGAGGTCTAACTAGAAGGCGGTTTCAGGGGATCTTGTGTCATAGCAGGCTATAACCGTTATATAATACTATAACCATACAGGAATTGTAACCGGGTACCATTCCCAAGCATTCACGCTTCCCCAGTATGGTTCGAAATTTGGGCACCAAGCATCGCTCTTAAGCTAGTGTTCCGCGTTCGGTGTGTAGGGGTCTGGGCTAAGCATGAAATTCATGGAGGCTTACTTAGTGCTGGGGATTCCTACCATTTGTAACGACGCTGACAAATGGATGCCGATTTTGCAGAATCTTCAATATCCTGACCACAAGAAACAACTGCAGTCAATGTTTGACGGCAGGAAAACCTATTTAAGGGCTAGCAACTCCAAAGTGTGAGTCTCGTATTGCAAGCTTCGTAATCAAAATCCTGATAGCCTGTGGCAGCTAACAGCCTTCGATTTGCAATCCGACCCGCAGCCAGCCTCTGGCTTTGTCAGGGCTGCTGACTTCTCGCCCTGGAAGAGGCCGTGGTACCTCTGATGAAACAGTAGCAAGAACAGCAACTTTTCTGTTTGAGATAATTGTCGTCATCGCCGTAATCGTCGTCTGATGGTGGTACCAGTGGTGGCATTTGTGGTAGTACAACCAAGAGGATTTGCAGAGCTGCAGCAGCTGTCATGATGGTAGTACTTGTAGTGATCATCGTGTTATACTGGCAGAGGCTATTGGAGAGATTGAGCCACCCAGTCTTGTGCTATTACTGCTTCCCCCAGTATTAATATTGCTGTTTCTGGCACAAGCACTATTAGCAGGACGTCGTCCACCGGAACACCCCTGCACCACCAGTACCAAAGGCTGCAACAAGTACTTTCTCGTGATTGAATCAGCTCACGATCCCACCCAGGATTGACACACATGTCCAGTTGAATTCCAGACAGCTGGCAAGTTCTGGTAAGTAGTCAGGCATCTACATCACCTTTGAGTATCATGGCGAGTATGTTGAAAGATTTTTGCAGTCACCACTGGCCACCCACATAACCATGTGTTGGTTGTCTTCGCACTTTGATGATGTGTGTATGATGATTACGCGGCCTTCTGCTACGAATCCTACGATTGTTTATTCACTCCCTTGCTCTAATGATTTGGCTAGCTCTTCAAGGCTGGGTTCTTTATGCATGTGCTAAAACGTGAGAAACCGCGGAGTTTCAGAACCCCTTTTATATCGCTTCTAAGACCGGGGTCCCGGCAGCTTCAGGTACTGGAAAGCTTCGGACTTCTTGCCATAGGCCCTCAGGAGCGGCAGTGTAGTCATGGTTTAGGCTCAGGCAATATTCCGCGAGCATGTAAGGCCAGCCTTGAACCCAAATCCTATGACTCCTCAACGAGGCCCGCCTCATGTGCCTGGAAATGTCGGCATAAAGGTCTCGCTTCTCCTCGATTTTGAGGTAGGACTCCCAGTCAGCCTGGCCCAGACTAACTCAATCAAGACCTAAACACCCTGAGCCCGGGGTTTCTAAGATTCCGGGTTTGGGAATGAAAGTAAGGTTTAGGGTATGATGTAGTGTGTAGGATTGAAGGGTGCACGCTGGGGCTCCCAAGGACCCATTGGTGGGCTTACAAAACTGGAATCCCATACTGGCCAGAAGGTGCCGCAACTGGCATTCTCACAAGAGAAAGTCTGATCACGGTCCGCCTCAAGAGGCATGCAAGAATGCTTAGATCAAACGTGAAAAGCGAACCATCCAGGAGTCGAGGTAGTCCAGGTAGGGCAGGACCTGCCAATGCAACATGCAAGCGCTGCCAGCACAGGAAGGATGTCTCCCTTTACGCTCCCAGAAACCCAACATGGAATCCTGTAAGAAGCGATACAAAGATTAGTCCTCAGAAAGCGTTTTCATGGGGCTGCATGTTTCTGTAGGGGAACGCCAACCAAAAAGTCTATTACCATTCTACCCGAAGGTCCGGTCATCTATTCAAGTTCTCTTGAAGTCAGACTTCCCTGAAACGCTCCTACAAACTTGCTTACATACTCAGATTTGATGGAAAATGACAGACCCAGTGTGGTAGTCAGAATAGGAGTGGCAAAATTCTCAATCATACTTGCAGCAATGCACAGTGAGTAGACTTCAGACAAGGTTACCGTTAGGGGCGTGGGCGCTCAACTATTGAATATTTTGCAGCAGTTATCACGGTTCTCATCGTAAGCGTGGTGGCGAATACGCATAGAAATAACCTTACTGGCAGGGCCACGAGTATCGGACTATTGTATGCGCACTAAGCTTCCAAGCCCTGACTCTAAAGCTGCACACCCCTATCCCCAAAACGTTTAGCCCCAAAAAGCTTTACTGCCTGCTCGAACATGTCCGCAGATGCTGCATAGTCCAGGGCGTACCTGGCAGCTTCAGTGTTTTGCGGACGTCAAGACGTAGCTTCGCGGTGGGTAGGCAATGATGGAAGACCATTGCAACGGATTATGAAACGGGATAGCCACTGTAGAGGTCCATTCCTCCATTCCCTGAAATCCGCTGGTAGCTATGGCGGAAGAGGTAGAGCTGGAGGCTCTGGGGTTTTGGGTCCCTCCAAATACTAGGAGAACATAAGGAACTGCAAGGGATGTTCTTCTTAGCAGAGGTGTGGAAAAAGAGCTACCAATCTGGACCAACAAAAAACATCAAGCTGCACAGAGTGGCAGCACTTTGTGACCAAGCGAGTTTAAATGCATAGCCCAGGCACTTGAAGATTCGGTACCTCTGCCTGGCAGCTTCAATGATACAAGCTGTATAGGGCATTTGTTGGGGATCATAGGGAAATTCTGGGCGGGGACCCTTCTAGGGAATATACATATATAGCTCTATGTATACACACACATACATAGACGCATTTATCTACTCTCGTGTGTGTGTGTGTATATATATATATGTATACCAACATATACACACCTCAAGGAAAACTTGAGAACCACCCAACTCAGCGCAGTTCTGAACTCATGATACGTTGCCTTACTAGTGCTTAGTAGGGAATGCCGGCATGGATCCCTGTAGAAGTCAGCATACGATATCTTAATCATAGTAGTCCCTAAAGCCGAAGTCGTTTTTTACCAGTTGACCACTGGTAAGTGGCTCCTTCCGTTGGGCAGTTTCCCTCATAGCATAACCTCAAACCTGGCAACTCTTACGTAGCCTTGTGAGCACGCCGACAAAAGTGGCCTTGGTTTTCAGAAGCCGAACTCTCCACCAATCCTCCAGGTACTCGCTATGATCACTCAACTCCCTGCAGAAGAGTTTCCCAAACTAGGGGTATCCTTCTGGGCTCACACTTATGTAGAGATGATGAGGACATTGTAGGAGCCTCCTGTTGAGGATTCTGTAGGCATCCTTCTGCAACACCCAGTACAGGTCCCTGGTTGCTGCTCCTAACCCTGTAACGTGGCGGGGCAGTACCAACTCTAAACCCCTGATTAAGCCCTAATCCCTAAACCCAAAATCTTGACCTTATGCCATTTCTTGGGCTCCCAGCTGGAAAGAAGGGCTAAAGGTGTTGTACAGCATCATCAGCAGTCTCAACCGAAGCTCCGGCTGCCTCAGAGCGTTGGAACAAGGAAAGTCGGCAGGGACTGGGTGTTTAACATTGCTCAGGGATTGGGGTGTAGGGCCTAGGGCTTAGGGATTGGGGAGTAGGGTTGAGGACTTTGGGTTTGGAATGCTGGCTTAGGGATAAGAGTTTGTAGTTGGTTTGGGGGGCCTCAGGATTCATCAAGGGTAAATGGGGTTTCGTACAGCGCGAGTTTTATGTAAATTCCGCTGGGCACCTCGATTTGGGTTGAGCATCTTGAGATGCTACAGTATACAAACCTGAAAGTAGAGTCTTAATTACCCCTTCTCAGCGGACTCCTGATCTCAGCCCTAAACCTTGAACACCTACGCAAACTCTAAACTTTAAACCGCAGCAAGAAGCCTGGCCCAAATCGGAAACCCAACATCCCAAACCGTAAGCTCCAAAACCTAAACCTGACACCCGTAACTGCTGCTAAACACAAGCAACTTGCAAGTTGCAATGCTACCATAAGATGCTCGGTCTGTAATACGTAGCATGTCAATGATCCAAGCTAAACCACAAACCAAGAGACATAAATCTGCAGGATCCCCTGTATGTTGGAAACCTGAAACCCTATGGGCAAAGGGCTGTTCTGTGTCGGCACTCAAGAGCTCGCAGAGTCTCGTGGTCGACTTGTCCAAGTGCTCACTGTCCTGGTTGCTTCTCCAAAATTTGCAGCGATACACCGGGACAAAGACAAGAAGGAAACAAGAATCGTCGCGATCGGTGGGTTCTATGAGAATTCTTGGGCACCTGTAGCATTTGCATAGGAATGATAATGTAGGCTGGCAAAGATCAAGGTTATTCCCAAATGCCCTAGCCCAACTGCATAAAAGGCAGAAGGCACAGGCCTTAGTGTGAAGGTTTCAAATTTCGGCTTCAGGACTTCGGGAACCTGAATCCCGCAACCTACCCCAACTAGCGAAACCGCGTATGTGCTTCGTACACACCCTTCACTACACGCCCTCTTCATCCCTCATGAACTCCATAACCTACCCCTCCCACAGCGCGGCCTTAACCCTAAATCCTGTTCCACTTGCGTCCCTTAAACCCTACATCCTGAACTTCTAATGCCCCTACACCCCCCTAGCCCCCTAGTAGGGATTTGTTGGGGGGAAAATTGAGAAAATGGAGAAGAAAATGGAAACTACTATAGTATGTTGGGGTTTTATGGGGATAATGGAAAAGAGAAAGGAAACTACTTAGTATACTGGGGGTATAGTAGAATAATGAAAAAATGAGTGGGAACTACTATAGTACCCCTCGACTCCCTGAGTCCTCCAGGCAGCTCAGCATACTGAGGATCAGGGCGAAGAAGCTCTGGCCAGCAGGTACGGCTAATACACTTAAATGATTAAGGGCGCATTTTTGAGGGGGTTGACCATAATAAGGACTATAATATTTTGGTGTCTATGTTGGGGTTCTCCTATTCTTGAATAGTAATTGGTTTTTCTACTATGACTAGCGTTAGTATGACAGTTATGGCCAGCGGTTCGGCTATGATTTCGTTGTGTTTTTGCCATGGTTGTAGCTCGTCTTAAAGGCTAACAAGATGAATGACATCATTAAGAAAAAGAAGAACCATAATTGGTATAGCGATGATAGCAACAAGAATGAGAAAGGCAATCGCAAGACTCATCACTGTAATTCCGACATCACAGGCACAGAAAGCCGCAGAGTGCAGATTGCGGAGTCGCGGTATTCAGGAAGAGCACCATGACCGGCCTACCTCCCCAATTCAGGCAGAAGTCCCCTACCCAAAATCCTGAACTTTAACCATGACATCGTAGATCCTGAGCCCTGAAAACTGAAAACTGAGGCCTCTATCTCCTTCAGGCGCTCTTCAGGTTTGTTCTCGGGGATGGCCGTGAACAGGTTCTCGCAGGAGGTCATTTTTGGGGTTGACGGTTTCAGATTTTGGGTTTGCAGCCTTCCAGGCTTGGGGTTTAAACTTTCAGGTGTCGTGTTGGGCTTGGGGTATACAGTATGGGTTTTTTTGGGAAAATTCCCAGAGGTGTACCCCTAGTGTGAAGCAGGTAGCAACGCTCTTTTCCAATAAATACTTGAGGTCGTGCAAGAATGAGTTCTCCAACAAAGTCATCTGTCAAGCACCTTTGATTCCTCCTGAAAGCAGGGGAAGACAGCTGAGATGAAGAGGTGACGGCGTACGCATAGATATGCGCTGGTGAAACAGGTCAAAAACAGACATGAACGCGGCCATGGAAACATCATGTCCAATCCTTGCTATAGTCGACAAAGAGGTCAAAGACAGGGGCGATGTCATACCTGCAACAGGCAGATATCCTTCAGTCTGAGCCACACACACATGCAGTCAATCACCTCGCTACCATGTCTGAATGGCTAGTAGCACAGTACTCTGGGGATTATGCGTAGCATGGCTTTGCTTGCTCTTAAGACCAAGTCGCGGTCGGAAGAACAGAAACGCCAAGGCCTCAATACACATCCTCACTGTAGCTTTATGTATGAGTCCTATACCTCCGTTGGTAAGGATAGAGCATGCATCGATATTCTTAAGTAACCCCCAGCCTTTTGTTGTTTTCCTGCGCATCTTGCACTGCCTGTCATCAGGGTACAACAATCGAGGGAAACAAAAAACCCCAAAGCAGGGATTCCTTCTTCAGCACTACGCCTTGGGAAACTTCCATACATGTTCGTTGGATGATGGCAGTTGTGCTGCCGGCGGTCCTGAAACTCCTTTCTGAACTTTTCACTGAAGGTCTTTTCTGCATCCACGCCCTGCTGCAGCTGCAGCAGTCTCCTGGCAGCAGCTTTAATTTTGAGCGGCTTGGAGGTCATAGGCATACTTCTAACTCAGTTTAGAGAAGCTTTGAAATTTTGGACTGACGCCTTCTGATAGATTCAGGCAAAAAAAATTGACCTCAACACCTCCCGGCCATTTCAAAAAAATATTTGGGGAGCCCATCCTGATAATAGAAACTATCCTGATAATAGAAATTCAATACAATCTTATTCACTTCTTAATTAATAAGTCCAGGAGCCCCAATGACCCCCCTGGAATGATTGCCTTTTGGATTTTGATAGAGATTCAATAAATTCCTACAGTTTGTTATAGAGGCCCAGGAGCCCCAATGATCGATGAATGATTTTCTTCTACTCTGGCGCCCCTGCCTTATTCTGGCGGGGGGCGGGTCCCCCAAATTCAACAAGTGCTAGGATTACACGCAAATGACTCAAAGCTCCATCTGCCTGAAGGAGTTGAAATACAAGTCATCATCCACGTTTAGGGAGACATATCGACATGCAAGCCCCTCAGGGAGCACGGGCAACTGTCACAACGAGATGATGCAAGAGGCGATCCCTGATGGCTGCAGCGTCAGCACCCTCTGTCACCGCCACAGCTGCGGCGAGGCGATGCAGCACCGCCGAGGCATCGGCTCCAGGGACAATGGGCTGGTAGGTCACGCCTGCAGCAGAGTTGGTCAGCGCGTTGGTGCCGGCGTTTCATAGTCGTGAATGGCGGCCGCTGTGCTTGCCTAGTTGCCTCGCGGTGGCTGCTGCCCCACGCGTAAGGCCCCAGGCTGTGGTAGCAGGATGTCAGCTGGTCAGGACGCCTGCTGCTTTGAACCCAGGCGGAGCTTCAACGAGATGATGAAGTCTGCATGGGAGAGGGCGTTGTCAAGCGTGAAGGATGGCACGAGGTTCCACAGCCTCGTGGCTCCAGGAGCAGCAGCGGCGTGCAAGCGGCAAAGGTCATCAGGGGCAGCGCCGGCTTTCCAGTGCACGAGACTTGCAGCGGCAAGGGCTCGCGTGATGACACGCTGCTGGAGTGCTTCGGCAAGCACCGGGCTCAATGAAGGCTGCATGCCAACGGCTCGCAAGCGATGATTGCAACGTTCAACAGCAACAGCTACGTGGGGGTCAGTGGTGCCGTCATGCTGGTAGGCATGGAGCAGCGGTCTGCGCCATTCCAGATTAGAAACTCTGGACCAAAGGTCGGCAGCAATGGCAACAGCACATGCTGACTGCAAGCCAAGCCCCGCTGTTTGAGAGAAAGCTGCGCTTGGGCCCAGGGAAAGTCCGGCAGGCCACACCCAAGCAGCTTCTGCATGGCCTGGAGAGGGGTAGTCCGGCCCAGATAGAGCATGCGTGAGGCGTCGCATGAGTGCTTGAGCTGGTAGTAAGTGACGTGAGGGTCCGGCAGGGCGGCGACGGCCTCAACGATGCCGAGCTGCTTGTCGGCAATGGCCTTGCTGAAGGAGGCGCGGAAGTTGATGGAGCCGATGGCCGACCCTAAGACCTCAAGGTCGCCAGCACCATGGACATCGCACCCCGCCACAAGGAAGGGCTGCTCGTGGTGCTCGCCAGCAGCAACTACAACCTGTAGGCTGGAGAACTGCATCCCCGTGTGTGGCATGACAGTGAGGAAATGTCGGAGAGCTCGAAACACCTGTCGGAGAGCTCGAAGCACCTCGGTGGAGTTGCCGGCCAAACCCCATCATCAGCGAAGCATGGCGCCAAGTCAAGCGCAGCAAGTGGCTGAAGGCGTGGGAGTGTGACAGCAGTGCCCTCTGGCAGCTCCGCCAGCCCAAGTCATTCCAGCAGCATGTGTTGCACGACAGCATGGCAGGCCGTCATCAGTGCGCAGCCCTGTTGACCTCCTGAAGCGGAGGGGATGATGATGTCCTGGTAGAAGACGTGGGCCGGCACCTCACTGAGATAGATGAACTCGAGCCATCTGCTGAGCCCAGGGACAACGTCCTGCATGCAGGTCAGGAAGACGTGCCTATCGACAGCGCTGTGGGCACTGCTCTGGTCGTAGGAGAGACATACCTTGTCGGGGTCAGAGGCATGCTGCTCTTTCCAGCGCCGCACGAGATGAGGCATCGCTTCGGCTCCTGCCGAAAACCCAACTGCGAGAGCATGCAAATCAGACTGCAGGAGGCATCTGCCAACCAGGCGCCGAAATACCTCACCAGTGCAGATGTGGCAGACATCGTCCCGTGCTGTGCGTTTGTTGGTCTTCGCGAGAGCAGTGCCTCTAACTCCACCAATGCATGGCCGCAGGCCACGGGGGGCCCTTCCATTTGCAAGCACGTTAGCAAAGCTGGTCAGAATGGCGATGCCAGGCTGTCGGTCTGTGTCTGGCCCAGAGAATAATTACTGCAAGAAGTCGCCACGCAGACCACTAGGCCCAGGAGCCGAGCCCCCGGGGAAATCCCGCATAGCAGTGAGAAGATAGCATCCAAGCGCAGCCCTACCAAGAAGACCATCCTGTGAAAGAGAGCTGACGGCCAGGCGAGTCAGATCCGCTTATATGCTCTTCAATCGGATCTGATTCGCCTGGCTGTCAGCTCCCTTTCACAGGGTAGTCTTCAGGGTAGGGCTGCGCTTGGATGCTATGCTTCTTTGCGGCTTGTGATACAAGCCTAAACTTTCAGCACAGGACCTTCATATCGGGAAAAATCAGGTGCCCCGCAGGGTAGGCTTGTACAACCCTATACTTGCATTTCACAAAACAATAGAAAAGGAAATCTGTGTATGATCCCTCGCCTGAATCAACCCTTGAGGCCCTTAACCGGAAGCACTAACCGCTGAACCCTAAGCGGCCGTAACCGTAACCCCGAATAGGACCCTCCACAAGCCCCAGCCAAAGAAGAGGCATCTCAAACATGCCGGGGCTGCTGCAGCCACTCAGCACCCTGTACAATGGCGTCGTCCTTGGCTGCAGCGCAGGTGTATGGTTTAAGCTTTGAGGTGCGAGGTTCAGGGCTTAGGATTCAGCGCGTAGAGTTCAGGGATTGAAGTTTGCGGGTCTGTGGTTGAGGGTTGCAATTTCTCGTCCCTCAGGAATTAGACCAGGTCTTGCATCATCAGATGATGAACTCGCGGGCATGACATGACTGCCGCACTGAGCCAGGCATCTACGTTGCTCTGAACACGGAGTTCAAAGGCACCCCGCGCTACCCCTGAGTACAGTCTCTACGAACGAGCCAACTGAAATCACAAGCTTCCCTTCCCCAAACAAACCCACGTGCCAGAACCCAATTGCCCTATAAGATATCCAGCTGTCTCTGCCGAGCACATCCCAAAACAATTTTGGCTTAGTCGGCATGTAGCTTGGGACCCCACATCACCCTCGCCATAGTTGATGTACGTCGCCATGGGCAGCACCTTCAGTCAGCTTCGTAATGCGGATACACACTATGAGGAAAAGCAGCAAGAACAGATGCGGTGCAAAACGAGCTTTGCATTGGCCGAACAATGCGGTTTCAACCGAATGTCTGTGTGATATATGCGAACCCTACAAAGGGATCTTTTCAATAATTCAGACACCTGCAGAGCTTGCTGGCGCCGACATAGATTCACATGAAAGAAGAAATGCAGCCAAGAGGTCACCCCAAACCTTCCACCTCACAAATCACCAGCCTTGCATGGCTCCTCAAGCACCAAAGTCTGAAACCCTGCAGCGTGACGCGCGGCACCCGAAAACTTGAATCGATCTCTAGCCGTTTCAGGGTTTCCGTGGAACGCCCCTACAGAACTTTCACGGAGAATCCCCAAGACAAGGAAAATCCACAATTTTGCTCTCAGCCCAAGAGCTCTCTTACCCTCAGCCTTCTTGAAAGACCGTCCTCTCTGGGAACAAGGCCAGACGGATCTGTGTCCCGAAGCCTTCAACTGTCTATAAACGTGCAGCTGTGAGCCAAAAGGGAATCAGCGATTCGAGACTTAAAGCTTGTAACGTTAAAGGACTTGGGGTTTAGGGTTTGCGGCATTGGGAGCCGAGTTTACGGCTGATGGGTTGGGGCCCGGGCTTCGGGTGTCGGCTCAGGCTTCAGGATTGTAAATTCAAGAATACCTGGTTGAATGGAGGTATCCAGCAAGAGAATCCCTTCATACCACCTTGCATGCACTATTTACCACAGAAACTAACGCCAACCCTACCGCCCTGTGTACCCATGCATCTGCAATCCTCATCACATACCCCAACCACCCCATGCACCGTGGTATCATGCGAATGGGAGGTTTGTAGTGTTACTTCTGACAATAGTAGTGGGACGCGTCAGCATGTTTCATGGATGCGTCAGCATGTTTCATAATAGGGAACTGGATGATCCCTTCCACAACCACCAGCTTGTAAAGTCCTCTGGGCAGGCAAGCTGCAAAGCCGGCAAGGATTCATTTTCCGCGACTGCTATAGGGCCAAGGGAGGCAAAATCACAAGAGATATGTGGCAGCTTCCAAAAATAGTTCATTTTCTCACCCTAAACCCCAAGCCCTCTTTTGAGGCACTTTTGAGGTACGTTCTTTTGAGGTACGTTTGAGATCCGCTTTTTGAGATCCTGATTTTGGCAGCGACCGTGTTCATGTTGACTGCGCTCAAGCAGCGCTGTCCGTTCCGCATGATTCCCTCCGTCTGACTGCAGCGCTGCAGCAGCTTGTGGGTGCTTCAGGGGAGTGGGGGCGTAAATACAGTCACTGTTTGGGGTTTAACATGTAGGGCATTGAAAAGAAGTTTATAGGGAAGAGCTTGGGGATCCACTCCTCACTTTCACCATCGCTTGAAAGCCGGCAAGGCTCTAGTAGGTTTTGGCTCAAAACCTGCACGTCCCGACCAGCGGCATGACCTTAGTGGGCAGCCCTCAGGATCACTGGGGTTCCTTGAAATCCCACGTATGAACCTTCTGCGCAAACTCAGAGATGCTCGCGATGATGTTTCATGTGTTTCTTGCAGATGTTTTTTCGTCATGGAAGTGCTCAGCGTAGCTGGAGCAAAAAAACATGTGAGCAATCACGGATGCAACAGAGGAGGCAAGCACGAAACATTACCATCGACAGTTACAGTACCACAGAAGATACACAGAAACGACCATGGCGACGACACTAGGATCACTACTACTTACCAATATGACGGCAAAGACCGCACATGTTAACGCAATGGTGAGAATATTTGCAAACATGGCGGTTTCTGGAAGGTGTGGGTCTCTTGTGACGTCCTTGCTCGAGGAATGAGAATTGTTTGATGACAGAGGATCCCAATTTTGAGAAACCCCCATGCGAATCCTAGGCAATCTTAGTCTGAAGGATCCCCAAAAGAATCTCTGTACAACTTATACACACCAACAACCTCCTGCAGACCTCAAAAGGAGAGTCTTAGAAATTCTCACATCTCGAGTCGTCGAGCTGCGGCAGGCGCTGCGGCGTCCCCAAGCGTTGCATTGCGCTTGAAGTTTGCAGTGGAGGCCTCAAGTGGGCTGGAGTGCCCCGGAGATACCCACGGTATCTGACGGCATTACAACCACAACGCATGGGTCTGTGATGCCCATACTTCTCTAGAGGTCCGAAAAAGCCCTTGCTTTGAAAAGCCCTTGCTCATTTCTCAGCGGGACCACAAGCTACCAGTAATACTGTAGCCCGGAAAATGAAGACAGCACGTAATAAACGATGCACGATGAGAGAAATCAGCGTATACCAAGAAAGCACGATATTCATGAAATACCAACCGTAATGGAAAATCATACGCATGCATCACATTACGATTGCAACGCAATTAGACCATGACCATCCGCAATACCAGCTATCTTTCTTTTCTTTGTGGCCACGACGCTCCCCGATGAGTAGCATAGATTCATTGCAGCATCCAATTGTTACATGCAATGTTACTGCTACTACGCTAACGAATAAACTGAAATACTGGAATTCCTGAACGAGCGAATATCCCTATCTTCCTTCCCCACCTGCTGAACCCTAAACCCTAGACTCCAAACTAGTAAGGCCTTTTTCAGTGGAGGCCGGTACATCGGCGCGGCCACAGCCCAAACGGGGTCTGCCTTCTCCAGGATCAGACCGAATCCGGCACCACCCCTGATTCCGCTGGTCACGTGCATGAGCACCACTGTAACACTTGGTAACACGAATCTTCCAACTGCCTGGCGGCTCCCATCTGAGACTGCTACCGCTCCCTCCCAAGAGATAATCTAGTCTACGAGGGGGCCGAAAAACCCAAGAGCCCCCCGGGCAAGGGCCCACCACCATGACAAGGCGCCAGCGCAAGATTCGCCAGGCCGACGACCGCCAGGGAGGCCCGCCAAGGCAAAAGCGCAAAGAGCCCGCCAGGGCCACAAGCCCCTAACGAGCCACAAGCGCTCAATCCGCCAAGGCAAGAACGGAGGCCCGCTAAGGCCGAAGACTCAATCCAGACCCGCCAGAGGCAAACAGGCGGCCACACCTAGGGCCCACCAAGGAAAACTGTTTAAAGTTTACGGTGGCGGCCCTGCCAGGATTGATTGCCTTAACAAGCCTTTTTGCCTGGCGTGTCTTGTTGCCTCACGCCTTTGGGCCGCGGCGGGCCTTTCTGAACTTCCGAATCTTTTGCGCTAATGGAACTTCTTGCCCTAGCGTGCCTTTTTGCCTTCGCGGGTCTTGTTGCCTTTTTGCTGGAGCAGGCCTTTTGCCCTGCACTCGCGCCCTTGCCAGGGTAACAAGCCCCGCCAAGGCAAAGGGCAGGCCCTGGCAAAAACCGCTCGAGGGCAAAAGCTTGTCAGGGCAAAAAACGATAAAATGTCCGCCAGGGCAAAGAGGCCTGTCAAGGAAAAAATGAGTGCCAGGTCAAAAAAAGTCCGCCAGGGATTCGAAGTCGGCACATAAATGCACGTTCCTTCTGGGTCGTGCCAAGGACTGTCATCTGCAATCAAAGAAAACACGAAATTCTTTGGGGTAGGACCCGCAGAACAAGGCGACCCGACCCCCTTCCATTCTATGGCTGGGGTTTGGGTGAGCGGCACTTGAGACGCCCCAAACCGTACTCCCTAAACCGAGCGCGCGTTCTTTCCGCCCGCCTCAGCGCTGCGTGGGCAAGGCCTTCGCAGCCCTTGCCGGCGCAGGGTGCAGCCAAAACCAGGCCGGGCCAGCTGATCCAAGGTGATCTTCCCATCCTTTCCAGGTGCAGGGCGTGCGGGTTTAGGGTTTGGGGGTTAGGGCGTAGGGCTTGCAATCTGAAGTGTAGTGAAGGTCTAGGGCTCAGTGCTTACAGCGGTGAGTGGTGGAGATTTGGATTTTGAGCCTCGCGTAGAGGGTGATGCAGTGCGATGTTCCCTTAAGGTTCTGGGTTCGTGATTCCGTTGGGAGGTGGGGATGATACAGGGATGTGAGGGAAAGAATTTTGCTGGGTTCACGGTGGGTGTCGATTGACGGGTGAGGAAGGGTCTGGGGCATGCGGCTCTACAGCAAAACATGAAGGCACTTTGCAACTTTGGGCTTGGGGCACTTGAAAAGCTCAGGGCCCTCCATCAACCTGCACAGCAATCGTTCGCGCAAGGTTTTTCTGGAGCCATTTTTCCCGAACAGACTAATCCATTTCTGAGCTTGCAGCTGCAGCCATTTCTGGGGAATCCGAAGCGCTTGCAAGATGGGAACGGGAAGGGGAGCGGAGGATTGCGCGGCCTTTTTTAAAGGAGAGGGCTGGGATGGGCTTGTGGCACCTAATTGAATGTATTCCTGAACCTGAAGCCCTACACTGCATGCATCAACGGCTCCTTCGGTAGAGGCTCATCCTCGAAGAGGCCCCCGAAGTACGGCTGAATCTGCCCGGAAGCATCTAGTTGACTCTACGAGACCAAGTAACATGTCTGAAAACAAGCTGACCAGTGAGACCATGATCATGAACATAAAGGACTGTGGGATCTTGCCACATTATTTTACGAGCTTTTGGTGCTGC